GTCCCTTCCTTACACAAAAAAGAATTAATGATCTTTCTTCTTTAATTTTGAAAAACACAAAAATTTTTGCTTGCTTTGGCAATGTTCTGCAATGTAATCATGTACAGAAATCTAGTATAAACATCAGCAATTTTAATAAGAAATACAGCTATTTTATAATTTCTAGTAACTTCTTCAATATGCCAAGCCCTGGAGGTAAAAGCTTTCCACACCCACACTGCATTGCAGTCTGGCTGGCACATGTGAAAGGCAAGCACTTCAGGAGAAGTTAGGTGACTGCACTCCGGGAACACTTCTCTGCTTATACAAGTTGCAGAATACTGGCAGGTCTTTTCTTTGTCCAGCCTGCAGGAGCGAGCTTTTGGAGAACCTTTTGTCCCCATCAGAATCTGGTGATATTCTGAGAACCTGCATTTTCGCCACCCTCTGACCTGGAAAATCTTGTCCACATCTTTTAAAATTCAAATTTTCAGTGAAATGCAATGAAAGCTCTATTACTTCAGGGACTTGTGTACTAACATGGAAAACTGAGTAATAACAAAAGGAGAGAGAGAAAGAGGGGTGCTGAAACAGGCACAACAGAGTGCTAGTAGAGTACCAGACAGGACAGGGCGTGATTAGAAGTACAGTGGGAAGAAGAAACAACACAGTCATGAAGAAGTCAAATTAAGGTAATTAAATGGGAACTAATGAGATTAGCCAAAAATCTAATGATACAGTCAGAGGGATGGGAAATCAAAGGGCATTCACCTGACTAGAACAAGAGGTACAGCTATGATTCAAGATGAGGAGGGACCAAGGCTGAACAAGGTCACATGTCTGAATGGGCAAATGTCCCATGCTGCTGACAGTCATGGCTTGAGATATTGTGGTGGTGTGTTCCCTCTTAAAACCTTTTCGTGCTGCAGTGTTCTCTGAGAAAATGTGTGTTAGGCCTCATCCTTGAAAACGCCACCTGGGCTCAGGTCTTTCTGAGCTTATCAAAAACCACTGTCTCCTCTCAGAAACTCTTCATGAGCTTCTGTTTTTCCCATGACCAGCCTTGGAAAACATTCATCTGGCCTGAATGGCATAAGTTTGCTGTTCTCACGCTATCAAAGAAAGTGCCAGCCTAAACTGTGGCCAGGATGAAACATTGTAATGATTGAAGTTCACTCTCATGCAATCCTTTAAACAGAGTGGGACCCATCTGGAGATGCAAAAGCATCTGAAGTGAGTATATTCACTGACCTCTGAGGAGAATTTTTCCACAGGTAGCTTATCTTGCACTATGTCTGCATATGTCTGCATATGCACTCTTTGTGCATATGGGTGGAAGTTAGGTTACGTCATAATTTATGATAAATGCTGTTAAGTGTTATTTCTCTCTTAGATTGTTAACGTTAAACTATAAATAAAGGTATCAGTTAGGTTAAAGTACTGTTAAGTTTAAGTGTTGTTAAGCTTTAAGATGCATTCTTTTTCATTCTTGTTTACACGGTCTTTACACAGAGACACACACATACACTTAGGTAGTTTCAATTAATTTCTGTTTTAATAGCCGAGGCTTTGTTGTTGCCTGCCTCCCCCCTTGTTGTGCCTCAGCTGTCCTTTCCAAGTAGAGTGAATCTTGCCAATGAATCTGTTGTGCTTTGTGGTTTTATATTAAATCTGACTTTTGCTCGTACTCTTGCCGGTAATTTTTTGAGCAATCTCAAACACACTTGTTCAGGACAGATATGAAGGTGGTTTTAGAACAGAATAGTTTCAAACAGGTTTGATTTTAACAATGCCAAATGAGTCAAAATTAGCAAGGGATGGTGGTAGAGTCAGTTTACATACATGGTTGGATACATGGTAGCAGAGCTTTTAAAGGGCCATTGACGCATCAGTGTCTGTAAGAGGAGTGAGAACTGACATTAAAATTACATCTCTGCCCAGAGACTTCTCCAGGATCAAAAAAAAAAAAAAAAAAAAAAAAAAGAAGCAAAGAAAAGTATCAGATCTCTGTGAAAAATCAGACAGAACAGGAATGCCTAATAAAAAAATTTACCAATGGCTGGGCATTTTCAATTCTTGGAACTGACACTAGGTTTCCTTCCTCTTACAGGGTGAATATTTGGCAGGCTGCACTATCTGAACTTGCTTAGGAGTAGTAATTACCAATTAAGTAATTTGAGTAAGTAAATGAAATATTCACATTCCTAGTTTGCTTTCAGGCAATAAGTTCCTTATCAATACTTATTTCCTCAGTATTCACAACCACTTGTGGTAATCTGCTGTCCCCCCACGTAAACCAAAAATAATAGAGAATAGTATTCTATCAATTTTTAACTGCTGCGTAACTTATTCCTCTCTTTCAGAATTCATTTGCTATACTTTAATTGTACTCCTCTACTAAAATGTGTTTCAAAGCGCTTCATATGAAGGCTAAACAAAACAACATCCTAAACTTGTGCCATTTATTGTGACAATCTGCCAACTTGTTGTGACAGGCGTAACAGATTGGTAGCAAAAGCTGAGCAGCAAAGGCTGGCTGACTTTTGTTTTAATAGATGAGACTCTTGCTTGGCTACATTTTTAAGAGCGATCAGAACTAGAAAGACCATTTTCAAAACAATTAAAAGCTCCTTAAAGCTGCAATGTAAGTAGTGTTGCAGTCTTGAGGGAAGAGGCAAACCACAGCTTTTTCATTCACACAAGGCCTTAGAGCAGACATGAACTTGTTTGCATGCATGAAACTTGGGATGCAGATTTCTTCCTGATTCAGTACAGGTTGATTGATAGTTTGAGCTGGGGCTGGGCTGAAGATAATGACACTTAGTCACTGTTAAAAATCAGTTTCCCAGCTTCTCCTCCTGAAGGCCATCTGTCAGGGCTTGGCCAGGAAATCAGATCACTGTTCTCATTTCCTGCACTGTGAGGTGTGGGTTTGGAGTCACAGAGTCATAGAATATTCTGAGTTAGAACAGACACACCAGGATCACCAAGTCCAACTTCTGACCCTGCACAGGACACCACAAGAGTCACAGCATGTGCTTGGGAGCACAGTCCAACCACTCCCAGTGGAGGCGTGGATAGGCTGGGGAAAAAAAAAAAAACAGTATTAGATACATGTCCCTTTGGCAAAGAAGAGGCACTTTAGGTATCACTGCACAGCTGAAGCACCCAGACAGATATAGGTCCTGCAAAAAATCACTATTTTGCTCAAATGTACGGAAACCACAAACCTGGAAACTTCTTGCTGGGAACAGAATTGCTAGTAAGAAGTTTCTGAAAACAAAACTGACAAGCAGCCTCTGGCTGGCTCTGCTCATGACTTCAGCACCATCAAAGGCCAAATCCACCAGAAATTAGCCCCATAACCATGAAGACCTTAGCCAAAACTCAAAGTACTTCTAAAAAGGTCTGGAAATGTGAAAACCAGTACAGTCAAAAGTATACAGAGTGTATTTGAAAGACATCAAATCCGAGACAATCAATTTTCCAGAATTCACCAGACACATACTTGACTGCACCAATAATAACCAGAGACTGAAGTAAGGAGATCAAAACAGTACTGGAGGTAAAACTCACAGATCTGTCTTTTGCTTTCCTGCAGAAAAATCAGCCAAATAAAGATTTGTCCAGTTCATAACAAAAAGCCATTATTATAAATTGGAAGTGCACAATACCTCTTAAAATGCCATTGCCCAGTAAACACCATATTTATACATTGTGACAATCATTTAATCAGATGGCAACCTGATGAAGATGGATCAGTTAGTCATGCAGAGGCTGTACTGGGAACAGGAAACATAAGAAGACTTAAGAAAAGGAGACAGAAATAAAAACTGCATATAAAGAAAGTCAAGCAATTATGTCTGTTTTCATCCAGTAGAAGGAAGTGTGAGGATAGAGGAGACATTTTTATCTTGTGCTGCGCAAACAGTACACAAGATAGTTCAAGAGAAGAAAATTACTTCCAAAAATGCTGTGAAATTCCACAATTCAAGAAAATGGCTTTTCAAGTATCCTATTCTAAGCTTAAACTTAAAATAAATACAACAGCAAGAAGTCATGAAATGCTATGAAAAGATGCAACCAAAGGGTTTAGGGTTCTCTGCATGCTCTTTTTATTTATTTTTTTTTCTGGACTCCAAAGCCAGGCAAAAACCCAGCCCAGGCAGACAAAGAGAAAGGGAAAATAATTGTCTGACTAATGTACTTTCCACACTCAGCAGAGAACACCAAAACTTGTTGGGTGCTCTTCTGTAGCTGAAGACAAGTGTTGGTACTTCTAATGGTGCACAGGGTATCACTGCCTCTTATATCCATGCCCCAGGAAGGCTGACAGAACCCTCAGAACTTCCACCTTGCACAAAGCCCTTCTTAGGTCAGAGCAATGGCTGTCATTAAACTCTTGAGTTTGTCTCACTAACATGACAGGGAGTCTGAAGTCAAGTGTCCAGAAGAGGAAAATTGAAAAAATAAGGCATTTTTAAGATCTCTAAAGTGTGCTAAAATGAAACAAATATTCGTAACATTCCCATAAGATGTTTTAATTCAAAAGGAGTGGTTTATCTAGAACTGCCTTCACTCCAACTCATGACTTAGGAAAACTCTGTCTTTGACTTTAAAAGAAATACCTGAAAGACCTTTAGAATGTTTTTCATTTTTATTGCCATGTTTTAAGCCACTCACAAACTCTGTATCAACCAAAATGCCCTTCTAGAAGATAGTTCACAAAGTCGGTAGAAATAAAATAATTCACTAGTAAATCTGACAGACTTCATCAGAAAGTCTGTAAGTCTATTTCACTATCTCTGATATAACTTTGTACATGCAAATGCTCACTTATATGCCATTCACTGAAAATTCAAAGAAGCAGTTGTTTTACAAAAAAAATTGAGGTTCATTTCAAAAGTTATACTGCTGTTCAAATGCCCTGTTACCATTGTGAAATTTTCTGATTCTGTTCTATATGCTACATTTTCCACTGGAGACTTACCCTGGAGCCATAAAAGCTGCAAGGCTGCCAAAGGATTTTCCACTTCAGCAGGCCTTCAGAGGAAACCTGAATATTGTTTATAGCCACAGTAATGTATAGAGTCAGGATCAGACAGAACACATTGGCCAAATACCACTACCCATTTTGTCGATGCTCTCTTATTTTCATCTCTAGAAGGTATGATGCTGTGGGGTTCAGCTCAAGGCAGAAATGCTGGTAGTGTGCTTTCAGAAGACAGATGGCTGAAAAATTACTTACCCTATCCTTATTTGTCTCTCTTGTCCTGAAAAAAAAAGGTAATTTCTTCAGGTCTATAATATTTCCAGTTTGTATAGATATATGAAAATAGCATACTTCTTGAGAAACTGTATTAATAAGAGATGCAATTTGGATTATAAATAAAGCTGTCTTTAGAAAAAAGACTGGATATTCGATTTTTTAGTCCCTTACAAAAAACAGCTTGTGCAAAGCAAATGCCTACAGATATTAGCAAAGTTTAATCTTGAGAGATATCACTTTGGATTCTATTATGAAAAAAGAAAATATAACCAGTTGGGTTATCATTACTCTGCTTATTCTCAACTTTACTCTGCATCTTCAGTTTCATAGAATGGTTTGTGCTTGAAGATCATCTATTTCCAGTGCAGCTGACATGGGCAGGTATGGCATTCACTAGATCAGGTTGTTCAGGGCCCCATCTAACCTGGCCTTAACCACTTTCAGGGATGGTGTACCCACAGATTCTTTGGGCAACCTGTTACAGTGCCTCACCATCCTCTGAGAAAAGAATTTTCTTCCTAATATCTAAATTAAACAGCCCTCTCTCAGTTAAAACCATTTCCCCTTGTCCTGTTACTATCTGCCCATATAAAAAGTCCCTCTCCCTCCTTTTATGCACATAGAGAATTTTACAATTGCAGAGCAATTAAGCTGTACTTCTGATACATCTATGTACTTCAATATAAATAAAAGGAAAACAAACTGCCTGAGCAGATGGAGCAAGAGTACATTCAGATATGAATGAGCCATAGCATGGACAAATTTAAGTTAAAGTAAGAAAGACCATGGAAAAACAGGGAAGAGAAACTGTGCAGGAAAGTTCACCATTGCAGAGACATTTACTTCCCTGTCCTTTTTACTCAACCTGAAAGCATGACACAAAGCTGTTCTTCTGACAGTTTTCTAGATTCTCCTGCTAGATCACTGTTAAGTGGTTCTGGCAATGTAATATTTCAGGACCTGGAAGCAGAGCAGCACGCAGTCAGACTCGAGGCATGCAGCACAAAGCTAAGGTAACTGGAAGCCGAAACAGTTTGCATCTCCACCAAGTACTGGCAAGTCACAATAGCTGGCTGCTTGGCTGAGGACCTGGGAGTCTGGGCACAAGGACAAACCAGTGGGGCCAAGCTGATGCACGGCCCCCAGGTGATGGGGACCTCCTGGCACCCCAACACCACAGCCCCAGGCTAATGGCTGCACCATGCCAGAGCTGGACATCCATGTAGGCAGACAAGAGCTGGGGAGAAGGCAGGATTGCAATGCCCTAAGGGCCCTGACATTAACTTCACAACATTCATAGTCTGCCCATATTGCCCTATCTGATCAAATACCTGTTGAGATGTTTGGGGAACCTGCAGAACAAATGGAAAAGGTGCTAAAAGGCTTAATAAAGAGGAGAAGAAAGAGCAGAGGAAAAATGCCAGCTCTGTGGCTCTTTGCCATTTTGTAGAGATGTTGCTAAATCATTGATAAAATTTATTTTTTTTTTTTTACCTTCAGTTATGATGGAACTGGAACTGATCATTATACTCTCTAATTGGTGACAACAAGGCATTCGTATAAGAAACTATCTCTGGCAGCTGTAGTTACAACATAATAATATGTTACAAACTATTTCAACACGACTGCTCAGTGCTGTGTAGGAGATGAGATCGTTATTCACCTGTTTGGCCTGTGGGACATGGTAGGGGCATTCTGTGACAGCAACTTGTTCTTTGGCAATCTTCATTGTGGTGCCAGCTGTTTCCTGCACAAGGTTGTTTTCTGACTGTACACTGTCATCCATCACTGCTCTGTACCAACCAATAGGCCTGGGCAAAAAGACAGCAATAATGAAATTAACTTCTGACAATTCTGACATGTTAAAACAAGGATTATTAATATTCCCAAGGATTATCATTCTAACCTAGTTTAGCCAACCAGCCCTGTAAATCTGGCAGTAAATAGCAAAGCTCACCTAAAGCAATAGAAATTTGGAATTAAAACAAAATAAATTGGTGGTATTTAATCATACTTTGGAACGTTGAATTCTTGCATTAATTTTAAAGTGGGCAATGGCATCTAGTGTGTAATGATGAAAGTGTAACAAATCTCTCACTCTCTGAAACTGAGATGCCTGCACAAATGGCTGTGCCATTGAACAACGTGAAGTTCCTTTTGTGGCTGAATTCTTTAGTTCACTTTTTTTTTCCCTTTTTTTTTTTAACTGGAAGGGACTACTTGATCCCATTGTTTACTGTGACCTAATGCATAGCAAAAAGTCAGAGTCCTACTGAGTTATTGCTGCATCAACTTGCCATGAAAAATATAGAAATTTCCTTTTTCCTTCTTGAAAAAAGTTAACAATATAAAGGAATCGATAAAATCTGTTTCCACTTATTAATGCCTCAGCCTAAAATTACAGGTTTCTTCTGCCATGATCTTGGTGATGTGATTTTGGAGCACAGGTTGTTGCCATGAAGGAACATCTATAGCTACAGGTAAAGCAGTAGAGGTTGCCTGCACAGGTTACCTGAACACAGCTCAATCACTAGCTTGTGATGGCCCTCTGTTTTTAATCATCTATGTGATTCCTGCAGAGTTTTACCTGCAGCAATTGAAGCAGGAGTTCAGAAATTAAACATTACAAAGGAAGACTACCTGAGAAAAAGAGGAAAAAAAGATGAACAGTTCAATACAAGCTTCATAATGACTACATATCTCGAGATTCAGCAGAATGTTTCTTGGTCTGTTGCAAGAAAATGACAAATGAATGCTATTTAACATTTTGCTTGAACAGTTTTCCCATTCAGAAAACTATCTGAAATACAATAATGAGAAAAGCAGAACTGTGAAGCATTTTAAAAGACTGATTACCTTTCTAGGACGTATAATCTGATACATGCTTTGTTTATCAAGAGTAAATTCAGTAGCTGAAAAGATTAATTGAACCTATTTTATGTACTTGTACATGCTCTCACAGAGAAAGTAACTTACTTTTTCTTTTTTTATTGACTCTTGCATAAGAGCCTGCAATACACCAGCAAGAGTAAAATGACTCTTCTAAATTTAGTAGTTCATAAATCTTACAAGACACCAATCCATCCAGTGGTTTGTTGTTTCAGGTTTTTTCCTCCTTTTGTATATCCAAATAAAATAGGAGTTCATGCAGGAGATGCACAATATTTGCTGTTGCTTTTCTCCTCTCCCAGGCTACAAGAGGCTTACTCGTGCTCTACCCCCTACACTCTCTCCCTCCCTCCCCCCCATAAACATAATGCATGCAGTGTGCATACACATACATGTGCATCTATGTACATTAATTTTTGACTTTCAGCTAATGGACAGGAAACTGCTATGACTTCAAGCACAAAGCCCTCTGTTTTGGAGGAGCTGTGTGACCTGGCTCTTGTAATTTGCTGAGGATTAAATTTACCATCCCAGCTACACTCACAAAGTGAATGATCTTTAAAAAAAAAGTTATGCTCTGCATGTCTTTTCCCCTATGCATTTGATGTTCATCTCAATGCCTTGGACAGGAGCTTGTCACTTAGTTGTGACTCCTGTGCATAACACTCTGGACGGATATCTGATCTCTAATGGCTACAGGTTTTCAAAAGATAAATGGTATTTTTGCCATCCACACTGGTTCATATGTTATTCATTAGGACTAAAGACTAACTTAAATGTGCAGTTGGTCATTCCACGCCTTGAGCAAAAAATTCTTCAGGACTCAGCATTCTGAAGTGTCCTAAGAGGGGACTTTTCCTCAGCCCTTGCTAATAACAAAAGGCTTGCTTCAGTTAATTTAGTTCCTCTTTTGGAGACTACTGACAGCATACCTAGATGAGCAGGTTGCCAAGCTAGGCTTGGGATGTTTCCAGGTCTTCTGTCACTCCATGGCAAAAGCCATGAAACCTGTTGAACTACAGATAGTTCCAGCTTGCTGGAAACTGGCACTTGAAACTTCTTAAAACTGCAGCACTGAGCATCTGTGGCACTGCTGATGATTCATCTACCAGTAAAATGCTCAATAGATATGCAGCAGCAGCATTTTCTGCAGCCACCTTTTGGATTCTGGTCCAGTTTGGAAACAGAAATATGCTTCATCTCTGCAGTTTCACTTCAATGTGGTGAACCTTAGAATCTCATTTCAAGCACAGCAGGTGGGTACTAAAGGAGAAGGCCCCTACAGAACACCCTGGGTTATTATGTATTTCTGACAGGATGAACCTCAAACATCCCAGGCCTACACGAGTAAGCTCGGCATGCATGTACAGCAAAATAACTCTGGTGGGTTTATCTGCTCTCATTGTCTCTCCTGAGATTTCAAGTTATCCCAGTGTGAGAAACTGAAGAAAATCATTATTTGCTCAAAAACAACCAAAGTGTGTGTTTGCACAGCAGGGTGGCAAGGCAAGCTCTGCAAAAAGTGGGATGATGCACTTCTCCATATCCCAACTCCCTGGAGCCTCTAGTCCAGCTCTAGAATGGTTATCAGCCACTGGCACACCAGGAGCCCCACATGGAGGGGTAGGCTCCAGGAGGCTAAAGCAGATAAAAGCAGTTGCACAAACACCATCTCCCTAACTTCTTCTTCTTGAAATCTGGGTAACTTAAAGTTGGATGGGTTAGAGTTTGCTAAGTCAATGTCTTGTGAAATGCTTTATGTCAATTGAATGTTTTAAAATTTGCCAGGTAGCCTTATTCTCTTAAATTTGCCTGTAAAAATTTGTTAAACCTCCTGAGAACACTGTGTTTCTCCCATATGCCTGTCTCAGGGATAAAAATCTTAACCTTAAAGAAACATATCAAGTGAGTCCAGGGCTTTACTCCCCAGGTCTGGTAGATAAGACACCTTCTTCTCAAAAGGCACCTGGAAAACAGGCAGAATATCCAGGGAAAGTCAAATAGCCCCAGATAAGGTTATGTGGGTTGCTAAATCCAACACAACTGCTGGCTGAAGTCTTGTCTAAGCCTACAAGATTATGCCAGGGGAACTCTAGAAGAGGATTGATAAAGCTCATTTCCTGCCCTGAGCTGATTAATGCAGCTCAGTCCTTGTCCTGGTTTTGGCTGGAATTTGAGTAGATATTTTTTAGAAGCAGGTACAGCACTGTGTTTCAGATTCAGTATGAGAATGATGCTGATAACATATTGATAGTTTGGTTGCTGTTAAGCATGCTTTCTCTGAGCCAAGGACTCTTCAGCGACTCATGCTCTACCAGTAAGGAAGTGCACAAAAAGGTGGAGAAAAGCATGGCCAAAACAGGGGACCTGAACTGGTCAAATGGACGTTCCACAAAAAGAATGTCACACCCAGTATATAAACGGGGGGAGCTACCCAAATGAGGGCCTATCTGGGTTTGGCATTGGCCAGCAGGTGGTGAGCACTTATGTTGTCCATTATGTACTTGTCTTTGGTTCTCTATTCCTCCTTTTTATTACTATTACTAATACTACTATTATATTTTCCTCCAGTTCAATCATTAAACTGTTAACCAAAAAGTTTCACTTTTCTTTTTCCCCGCAGTTCTCCTCCCAGTCCCAGTGGGGTAGGGTGCTGTTGAGTAAGAAGCTGCATGGTAGTTAGTTGCCAGCTGGGGCTAAGCCATAAAGCTTTCTCTACACACGTACAACCCTTAGTAGCAGCTGACGCCAAGTCACTCTGCTTACTCGCACTATGTCAGTAGATGCAGTGGGAGTGATGAGCTGGTTTACACAAAGCAGCACTGGAAAGAAACGGCAGCCTGTAGCACACTTGTTTTCCTCAGTTGTGCTCACTGCCCTAGACACCCTTCATGTTTCAATGACAATTCCCTAGTAATGAGTGTAATGAAAAACAACCAAATGAAGCTTCCCATGCTGTAAATGTCTTTGAAGTATTAAGAATGTTTTCTGACAACTTGCTCCTTTCCAGTGTTTGCAGATCCCATGTAGCATGCAGCTCCTGAGACCTCAAGAGCAGATTCCCATGGGACTCCTGGGTGGTACAATGTTTGCTCTCTCAAAACAGAAAAGCAAACCTGCAGTTCTTTTTTCCTCATTGCACTGACATTTTTAAGCTGGCCACTGTGGCCTCCTGATCACTGTGGCCCAAGACCATGCCATCTCCCAACAGGCCTTCTCCATAACAAACCAGTAAGTCTAGGATACCTTTCCTTTCCCTAGGTGTGTCTCTGAGTATTTATAATACAAACTTCTTTCCCATAAACTGTAAGAATTTTTCAAATCTGCTCACCATAGCAGGAGGCATTTCCAGCTGGTCTCTAGAATGTTGAAATCTGCCGCAAGGAGAAAGGCTGCTGATCCAGAGATTTCTCCTAATTGCCTGTTAAATTAACTTCTCAGCACTGGCATCCTGGCTGGGCAACTGATAGAAGACACCCATCATCTCTGCTTTGTCTTCCATGACATCATCTTCACCCAGAGACTCCCAACCACATCATCACCAACTGTAAGGGCTGTATCAAACCTCTCCCTTCTATTTAGTGCAAGCACTCCACCTTGCCCTGCCCTCTCAATAGCCTGTACCCTCCCTCCCAGCACTCTGGGTGTAGAAGTCCCACTTATGCCAAGGATATCCCAGTTGTGTGAATGGACAAGCTTCCAGTCAAAGGCACTTGCAGCGGCAATCCTTGAACCATCTACCAGGGACACCCCAGGCCCTGAGCCCCTGCCCTCCAGGAGAATTTGGGGCTAAACAGAACAAAGGGAGCCACCACATTCACTCCTAGGAGATGCCAGAGAACTCTTAGCAGCCAAAAGCCAGACTGGACCATGGCAAGCCCATCACTATAGGTCACAGCATGTGGCCCCTGGACCTCCTAGTGCCCTGGCTCCTTCAGACATTTGCGCTCCCTGAAACCTAATCCCATGGTAGGGACCAACCTGACCCCTGCAGCCCAGAGACACTCCCAGGGGCAAGAGTGGAGGTGACTGACTGCAACCACTCCTGACTCCCTCTCAGGCTCAGCTACCCTGTGCCAACTGGTTGGGAAGGAGCAGCCCTTCTCCACAGCCTGGGCACTTCCAGGTGATGAGGACCATGGTGTAAAAACATGGTGTCAGAATGGTGGGTGCTGCTGCCTATTATCTGTCCCTAACAAACATCTCTTCTTGAAAAGCAAGCTGGTTTAACATTCAGGCAATGCAGTCAAACCCCCACTAACACTCACCACAACTGGCTCAGCGACAGAGGCAAGAAAGGCTCTTTTGCAAGGTTTTATTCCAGCAGGGCATGGCTGAAGGGGACCAGCGAGGAAAAAAGAACCACATGGAGCAGGCAGCTTGAAAAGGGGAAGGGGTGGGGAGTGGAGCTAAGGGCTGGGCAGAGGAGTTTGGTCTCCAGGGGAAGGGGGGTGGCCACCAGGGATACCAATCCAGTGTGGGGACAGGACAAACCAGGGGAAGTTGTGACACAGAAATCCATTTGGGAGTCTGTTTTTTTCCCCCTAGGACCAACTCTATGGTAAGTAGTTACTGCTGTTTCCAGGGCTGGGGACTTGGGAATTGACTGAGGCAGGAGAGTTCATGGAATGCTACAATGGTGAGACAAGCTGCCCCTTCAGCCCCTGGATAATCACAGTGGAGCGGAGACCCACCTGCAGGCTGTGGAAAAGCCCCACTCTGGAGCAGGTAGAGATGCCCTTATGGAAGCTACAGCCCATGGAGATCTCACACAGGAACAGGCTCCTGTCAGGAGCTGAAGCCTGTGCTTAGGAGCACATACAGGAGCAGGTTTCCTGGCAGCTGGAGCAATCTGTTTCAGAAGTACTGCATATCTGTAGAAAGGGCCCATGTTAGAGCAGAGGAACAGTGTAAGGAGTAAGAAGCAGCAAGAATGTAATGGACTTAACACAATACCCATTCCCCATCCTTCTGCACAGCTGGGGAGGAGGAGGTAGAAGAGCACGTATGAAAGAGTGAAGTTGAGAAAGGAGAGGAAATTAGTTTCAGTTTTGCCTTTTTTTCTTCTCCACCTACTCAATTTTTCATTGGCAATAGAAGATATTAATTGTACCCAACTCTATCTGGTTAGTGACAGTATCTTGTCCTTGCCTCAACCCAGCTTTCCCATCTTACTTTCTCCCCCATCCTGCAGAGAAAGGAAAGTGACAGAGCAGCAGCTTGACTACCTGGCAAGCAACCAGCCAAGGTCAAATCCATAAAACTCGTGGAGGTAGTGCAGGAGAGACAGTGAAGGTACCCTCCTCATTCAGCCCTCAGAGCTACTGCTGTGCACACAGAGAAGGGCCAGACCTGGAAAACAAAACCCTGCCAGAGGTCTGTTATTGCACATAAATTTATATCCTGCAGCAGGACATCTAGGATGTGCTGAGCTGGGTGAATGATGGTTATTTCAAGGAGGTCAGGAGGAAGACCTTTTATTACCAAGGCTAGACAAGATAGATGTTTTTCAAGTATGCAGCCGCAGGATATAAAGAAGAGGAAAAGACTTCTTGAAGACTGCACAGGCAAAATGCACAGGCTCCAAAAAAGGGAAATAAAAATAAGAAATTTGAAAAAAAATATGTTTCCCAAGGGAAAACTCTTATTTTAGAAAGGGCAGGACAGAGCGGCCACCCAGCTTTTGGGAAAACTCAGAACTGAACCAAATCCAGGCAATCTGATCAAAGTTTCTGCTTTCAGGCTTGTACCAGCTGATCTCCAAACAACCCTTCCAACCTGAAGTTCTCCGGACTGCAAAAATATCCAATGGTCTGGATATATAAGACACTCAAAACCAAAGGAAAAAACTCTATTTGCAAAACACACAGTACATATGTAAATATATTTAAACAAACAACAAAAAAAAACTTATTGCTTTATTCAGATTTTGATATAGCTTACCTTAAAATTACTCAAAGTCATTTGAGAATTTCTGTAGAAATCACTGACTGCTTTTCAGCAGAGATCTGCTTAAACCAGAAATTGAAATGATGCTGGAATTCAGACTGAATCACTTTTTATGAACTAAACATTTTTCTGGTCTAAGAAGAACAATCCCCATAAAATGCATTTCTAGGCTCTTGGTTTGGATTCCTTTTCTGTTGTTTGGTTTACACAAAACTTTGAAATACACTGTGGATGGCTTTATGAAATTAAAACTTCCAAACAGTCCTCTAACAAACTTTTAGAATTACATACTAGCTATATTCTATCTTCTTTGACTTAAAAGTGCATACACATTCAGAAGTTTTATACATTTCCTAGACATCTCTTTAACAGACAGAAATCCTACCAGACATTTTAGTTTTCAAGGGAAAAAAGAAAGTAGTTAAATTCACAGTTTTAACAAGTGTTCCTAGGAAAGCCTACTACATTTTTTCTTCTGGGAAATCAAACCACGAGGATCTGTTGACAAGTCTCTTTGGCAGTCTCAGTATCAATGGCTCTCTCTCTGGACACTCTAGGAAGGAAGTCCTGGGGGAAGGCAGTTGACTGGAAGGCGCTGCTGGTGCTTCCTGAACATAACTGGTTACAGTTTCTGTGTGAGAGGTGTTGCTGCTGGTACTCACTGTGGCAACACTCTGATCAGCTGCTGTTTCCTGAATTTTGACATCAGCATTTCTAACGCCACCACCTAAGTTTTCCCTTGTGTCAGGGATACCATACTTTTTGTCTACTTCTCCAGTTTCCTCACATCCTGTGCTCCTCAGAAAAGAAGATGGAGACTCATTTTCCCTCTCATTTATTTGAGTTGTTCCTGTCCATGTAATACTGCTGTCCCATTCGGTACTTTCTGGTTCCTTACTACTATCACTATCAATTGTAATCACCACCGGAGAAGAATGTACTGAGTTACTCGTGTGATGTTTCCGGTGTTTCTTCTTATGCTTTTTCTTTTTCTTTTTAAGATGCCTCGTTGTGTCCGTTGCTTTTCCTTCATAGACTATCTCCACACTTGGACTCCTCATTTTCTTCTTCCTTTTCTTACGCTTTGTCTCACTGCTTGCACGATTGTCTGACAGGCTATCTTCATTTTTGCAGCAGTCAACAAATTTTGAGGAAGTTTTCTTGGACTCATTTTCTCTTTCTAGACTTGTGCTTTCCATGAATGCATTCTCCAGGTGGCGAGTTTTGTACTTCCTTTTTCCACCAGGCTTTTCACTTTTCATTCTGTCATTTCCTCCAGAAGGAGTCCTTGATCTGTTGCTTGACCGACTCCTTGACCTGCATCTTTCATAACAGTAATAGTGTCTCTCATGGAGTCCCCTCTGGCTATGCAGATCTGTCCTCTCAATAAATGATCGTATCCTGTATTCTGGACTAGAAGATTGCCGTGAGTAAAGAGTGTTAGACCGGGTCCTCCTTCTGCTGGAGGATTCATAGCTGTCTCCAAACACCTTTCGACTACAGAAAGCAGAACCCCACTGGTGTCTGCTTTGGTAACTGTCTCTTACATAATAGCGATCGCTGTCTCTACTTCTTGATCTCCTTTTACTGTGGCCTTTGCTGCGTGAACGTGATCGGCTCACTTCTCTGGATGGAGTGCTCTCACCACTTAGAGAGCCCCTCTGGCTTTTCAGAGAGGCTCTGGTGTCATGAGCCCTTGATCTTCTGCTGCTTCTTTTGCTCCTATGTTTGCTACTATCTCTGCTTCTCGATCGTCTCTTTTTAAGTTGGCTTTTGCTACGGTGCTCCCTTCTAGACCGATGGCCATGGCTGCCTCGACTGTCCCGTGAACAGGACTGTGGGCTTCTAGACTTTCCCTTTTTAGACAATCTGTGATTCCAAGGGGAGCATACTGTATCACTCCCTGGAGAGGGGCTCCAACTCAAGTCCTGTGGAGGCAGATCTTTTCTTTTGTATTTGTTTTTCTCATTCCCTTTTGATTCCATCTTCTCAACTGCAGGAGATAAACAGCTTCTACAACTTCCTACATCCTCCCCGTATGTTGGGGAATGTGGTGAGAAGCTCCTGCTTGGGTCACTGTCACTCCAGCTATGACACTGGACTGGTCGCTGTTTCTTGACATCTTCCCTTTTCTCTTCCTTGATGGACTCCTCAGAGTCCGAGGACAGCTCAACCACTTCTGGGGTCCTCTCAGCTAGCGGCTTAACGTACCCAACAATGACACAATTGTCTGAGGAAGAGCCGCTGTCGTTTGAGTCAGCGTTGGCCTGTAACTCAGTCTGCAGCTTGGTTCTTCGGCTCCCTGAAGCAGAGTCCTCGTCAGAACTTTCTGATGACTCCAGAGGAGAAGCTATGGTTGCACGAACCTCTTCTGAAATGGAATAGGAAGGCCCCGGAGTTTCGTCATCCCACGGGGCCTGACCAAGGCCAGGAACAGACAAACTATGATCCGGCCCTTGTGGGTACGCCACATCTGGAGATATTGTGATAATTGATGAGTCTGAGTGGCTTCCTTCCTCATACGACGGTGCAGGACAGTCATAATTGGCGTGTTGATCGTATGATTCTAAGTTAAAAGGACAACGAGCAAAACTGATGAATTCGTGCAGGAAGTGCTCTGTCCGATTCAGCAGAAAGGGCTTCAGATCGTCAGCAAAGGCCTGGCTTTCCAGATCGTACCTGGTTACGTTACTCATGATGATGTGCTGCACAATATTGATCAGAGACCCGTGGGCACCAAACAGGACCGTAAGCTCTCGCTTCAGCCAAGGAACCAGGCGGTGAAGGCAAGCAGGGTTGCGCCGGAAGAACTCGGCCGAAATCTCTCGGTATCGGCCGCCGTCCTGGATGCTGCGGATGCGCACGCCGGTGCGGTACAGAGCCCTGCGGAAGGTGATCATGTCCTCCTCCTGAATCTGACGCAGAGATCTGCCCTCCGCGCTGGCCTTCCTCCTCGAGGCCAGCCTCCTGAGCATCTGCTCAATCTCTCTGTGCCTGTGTCGCGCCGGCTCGCTCGACAGCCCTTCAAACAACATCCCGTTATCCGGAGGGGACGCCACCCTTCGGGAAGGGGAACCGCGCCTGCGGCGTTCCCTCGTTAAGGTGGTGCGGTAACGAAACCTCCGGCCATCGGGGCTGGCAAAAGAGCTTGTTTCTAAAGGGCTCAGGATGTACTCCTTGAAGTCATCTTCAGCACGAATCGTATGGAAAATGGAAAAGAAGGGTTGCTTGCACAGCGGGCATTCTGCTTTGTTCTTGGACCACTCTTGGACGCAGCGGAAGCAGAACCTGTGCAAGCAGCGATCCAGATACGCCACGTTGTCAAATCTGTCCAGGCAGATGGGGCACTTGGAGTCGGGAGACGCATCGGTCGGCAGCTTACTGGTGCTGGCTTTCGGAGAAAAATTGCTATCTTCTGCAAACTCCTTATCTGATGTCATGTTCTATAAAAGACAGAGACAGAAGATCATTGCTGTCACAGAGAGGCAAAAATCTTACACTGTAGAAACCCACAACAATTGCTTTTACAGTTGCAAAACCCAGCAGAAGCTCTGAGACAATGCTGAACAAAGAGGCAGCATGACCTAACTACTTGGTTTGACTTCTCTTCACAGTGAGGTCTAGGTTCTTCAGTGCTGCAAGTTTTACACAGCACCCAAACAATGCTGGCACTGATGATGGTAACAGGCAGGCCTGTCTTCTTCCCCACTCTTAAATAACTCCTTTGATGTGGTCAGTAGATTTATGATTTACATGGTATCCTCCAAAATATAGCTTAAAATATCTAGCATTTATATATGAAAAGTATGAGAACAGTTAGTTCTGTACTTCAAAACAAACCAACCAAAAGAAGTAATTGGACTTTAACTATGTTATCACCTTCTAAGTTCTGCTGGACCTGTTCTGTTCCTGCACAGTCTGCCCCTCTTTGTTGGGCATTCATGCTGGACCACACACAGCTTGTGGGACAAGACAATCTCCAGGGATGTGTTCCTGCCAAAATAAGTATTTTTTTTCAAGACTGAAGCAGAAATAACCAGATGTTATGCTGAAGTACACACTGCCTTTTATCTAGTCAGGTTGTTATGCTGTTTGCCTGAGATAGTAAATTTTCTTCACAGCGACTGGTCTGGGGCTGAGCTTTGAATTTGTGTTGAACACAGTGTTGATAACACAGAGATATTTTTGTTATTGCTGAGCAGGGCTTACACAGAACTTTTAGTACTTCCACACTGGTGAGGAAGTTGGTGGGGCATGGGAGGTTGGGAGGAGATGCAGCTGGGACAGGTGACCCAAACTGACTAAAGGGATTTCCAGACCACGCGACATCCTCAATATATAACATGGGGGAAAGAAGGAGGAAAGGTGAGACATTTGGAGTAATGATGCTTGTCTGCTCAAATCACACCACACATGATAGGGCCCTGCTCTCCTGGAGATGGCTGAACATCTGCATGTCCATCAGAAGCAGTGAATTATGTCCTTGTTTTGCTTTGGTTGTGTGCATGGCTTTTGGCATCCTTATTTAACTGTCTTTATCTCAACTGACAAGTTTTTCAGCTTTCACCCTTTCGATTTCCTCCCTGATCTCAGGGAGTGTGCAAGTGGCTACCCAGTGCTTGGCAGCTGGTTGCAGTGAAATCATGAGAGACGTCAAACATGGTCAACAAAAAATCAATCTATTTAAAAGTTATTTTCAGTTTTGGCGTTACCCTAAGGCATTACAATCCAGTGAAAATAAGTTTCCACCCTACTCCAAAATCCATTAGCCCATGTTTTGCAGCCTGTCTGGCAGCAGACGTTTCCCGCCGGCAGGACACCGGGGCAGCAGCAGCGCTGGGGTGCCAGAGGCGCAGCCCGGGCTCAAAGAAGTGCCGGCACACCCGCAGGGGTGAGCAGGCCCCGGCCCCGACCCCGCTCCGCCCGCTGCGGCACCGCCCCCGCCCGCTTCCCGCCACCCCTGCCTCAGCAGCCGCCAGCCAGCGCCCCGGAGGAGACGGCGCTCCGCCCGCCCCCAGGCCCGCACTCACCGCCGCCGGGCCTTCGCTTCCCGTGCGGGCCAGGGCCGCGGCCGCCTTCAGCCTGTGGCGCGTCCGGCAGCGCCCGGTGCCGGGAGGCTCCCGCCGCTCCTCCCCTGGCGGGCGGCGGCGGCGGGCACCCTCCGCCAGGCGCCGGGACGGGTCCGCCATCGGCGGCGGCGTTGCCACAGGAACAGCTGCTCGCGGGCGCGGAGCTGAGCCGGGATCTGCCGGGAGCGAGACCGGGGCCGTCGCCGTCACATCCGCGCCCCGCGCAGTGACGCTGTTCCGGGGCGGAGGCTGGGGAGGGGCCGGGATGGCGGCGGCGGGTGGGCGGTCGGTCGGGTTCCGGCCCGCTCCGCCGCCCGGTGAGTGTTGGCGGGGCGGGCGGGGCAGCGGCAGAGCTGGCGGTGCTGAGCAGCCCCGGGGAGCAGCCCGGGCGGCGGCGGCCCCTGGGGAGTAAAAGCGAGGGGAGTCGCGGCGGTGGCGGCGCCAAGGCTAAGCCTGCTTTGTTCCGCAGGTGGCGGCTGGCGTGGCGGGGCGCAGCCGGGGTGTCCTTCTCTCGGGGCGCGGGTGGCCTCCCACGGCCGCTGGAGAGCCGCTTCCTGCCCCAGGAGCTGCCCGAGGCTATGGCAGAGCCCGCCGGCGGCGCCAGCGGGAGCTTGGCAGAGGACTCCATGGAAGACTGGAGAAGTCGTGTGGTTGGTTGGGCAAGTAAAACATAAATAGCACGTAGCAAAGAGGAGATAGATAAAGCATTTCCTAATAAGCCGTTACTAGGAAAGAGAAAAATAGCTGTCCTTACTGATTTTTACAAGTGCGTACCTGGAGTAGATACAAGTGTGCAAAGGACACGGACAAGGCCAGTTGTGCAGGCTGCCGCAGGTGGGGCACAGCCTGCCACAGTACCTGCATGTATTACTAACAGGACCTGGGTAAAACACAAGCACAGCCAGCCCTGTCCCTTTTCTTCCCCACAGTCAGTATGGACTAAAGTTTGCAAAAGCACACGTGAATTCACAGAAGCCCAGAGTACCAGCACAGCCCTTCTGTTCATGTGATAACCCTGCCCCATATCCTGAGCCATTTTACTCATTCCCACGCACCAGCTGGTCCTGCTTCTCACTCAAGAGTAAATGCCTGCTCTGGTGCTTCCCAACAGGTACTCCACTCCTAAAGGTCTCCCCAGGAAGCAGCACGGGCCTATCCTTCATGACCTGCCTGGACCCAGAGCCTGTTCCTCACCAGGTAGCCCACCTTGAAGTTTGCTCAGGAGTTACATCACTGCTCCCAGTAATTTTCCCTGGTGTTCAGGGCAGATGCAACCTCTCTTGTGTCCACAGCAGGCAGCATCAGGCATGTGGGCTGTGACCTGCAGTCCTGCTTTGTGTGTGGGTGCCAAGACTCACTCATTTTACTTGACTCAGTTCCCCAGCAGGTGCACCTGGGGCACACATACCCATCCTGCCCCCACACTGACACCTGCACCCTTTGCTGACATCAGGGCCATTACCCACTCCCATTGCTGGCACAATAGGAGGGATTTGTATCTCAAGTAGTTGTACTCTGTCAACTTGATAAATGCTGTGTGCATGTGTCAGCTCATAGGCAAGGTGGGACCCACTTGGACAGTTCATCTCTGGGTCATGGAATTATAAATGTATCCTTGAAAGGCATTCCAGGCTTTTCATAGGCGTTTATAATTTTTAGAGAAGCATCTCAGAGAATGCACACTAAGCAGCAGCACCTGAAAAGAAGCAATTCTAGAAGTAAAATGGATCTGGTTTGAGGTGCTGGTTTTCTACACAGCTGTGAAAAGCAGAGCTCATGTGGCCACTGCCCATAAGGATTGGTAGCACCTCATCCCACATACCTCTTGAAGCTGGGGAACAATCTTTTGGTGAGCCTGGCCCTCCTCCTCCTGGCCAGCAGGACCTTTGGGGTCCCTTAGTCATCAGCAGGAATTTTCTTTGCCAGCAGCTTTGTGGGAATAGGAGTGTGGAGAGGTCCCATGTCTCCCTGAGCAGCAGTCACAGCTAAGAGTGGCATCTGCAGTTCCTGACAAGGGACAACCCCCAGCCCTCTTTCTGGTGTACTCTGGCACCTCAGACAATGCTCCCTCAGGCACAGCAGCAACAGCTCCTGTGGGAAAGGAGGTCAGTGGAAGGTTGAAATTGTTCAATTCCTGAGTTTGCTCAGCATCTCCCATCTTAGCTACATCACATGTAAATACATTAAAATTGTCATAGACCTATAGCAGTGCTCCTCCAGAGGTTTCTGTGCTGGCGGGCTCTCTGCCTCTCTGCTGACTTTCTCTGAGCCAAAGCTGACTGGCTGGATCGTTCTTCACTGTCCACACCAAAAGAGCTCAGCTTCAGTGCGCCCTTGTCCTCACTGTGGTTGAAGCCTTCACCAGCTTTCACTCCTCCACTCCTTTCCCTGACTAGCTGGGAATCTCCAGCAGCATGATACCAAGAGCAGGAGTTAGAAATAGTCTCTGACCACTGGCCTGCCCCAGGCTGGGTCCTCTTCAGTGCTTATCTTCTCAACCTTTGTTTTAGGTTCCACCACTGGTGCGCACCTGCAGCTGCACATGGGCAGGTACCGGGCAGTTCAGGGTTGTAGCATGCTCTGCTGCAAACCTGCCAAGGGTCACTTTGCAGCCAGCTCAATGGAAATCTCTTTTTTGGCTTTGCTCCTGGGCAGCGAGTCTGTGTGATCATGTAGAGATGCTTTAATTCAGAGCTGCCACAAGATGGCAAAATACTCCCCAGCATCCCCTCCAAGCTGGCTTGCCTGCACCGCAGGCTGGAGCCGTGCAGGACTATGGGGAAGCAGCAGCAGCCACAGCAGCTGAATTTCTCTCCCTTCATCTTAGCCTGCTGCTTAGTGTGCATTCTCTGAGATGCTTCTCTAAAAATCTCTGGAGGACCAAGACCTGTCCATTTACTCTTGTCCCTGAAGTCCAAGGCAGAGACTATGACTGCTCACAAGAGAGATGAAACACTTGATAATGTCCCTGCTGAGGACAAGGACAGTGACAGCAAGCTAAGGCAGAAGGAGACCTTTCTCTTTTTATTAGCTGAGAAACCTGTGTGATGTTTCTGTGTATATTAAAAGAACTGAGAGCCTCACTCGAGAGCTTTTACTTCTCTAGCCTGTCTTGACTATTCTCTGTATCCTCTCTCCTACATTGCTGTCATAGCTCAATGCTAGAGTAAATGTCAAGGGTCCAAAAGCATCTCCACTTCCACATCCTGATGCTGACCTGAAGTCATGTCAGCATGATGGCAGAAGCAAGAAGCCACTTTTACCTCCCCCATAAGAGAGAAGTGGTATTAAAGGCCCCATAGAGATTTAGAAAATACCTCCTAGTCTAGTGGGAAGGTGCTGGTTTTGGCTGGGGTAGGGCTAATTTTTTTCACACTATCAGACTGTGATTTGAATTTGTGCTGAAAACAGGGCTGGTAACATAGGGATGTTTTTTTCCTGCTGAGCCAAGGTCTTTGCTGCTCCTCACCCACACCACAGTGAGGAGGCTGAGGATGTACAAGGAATTGTGAGGGGACATAGCTGCAACAGCTGACCCCAAATGACCCAAGGGATATCCCTATCCTATATTGTATGATGCCATGCTTAGCATATAAAACTGGGAGTAGAAGAAGAAAGGGGAGGAAGTTCAGTCATGGCATTTGTCTTCCCAAGTCATCCTTACACAGGATGGGGCCCTGCTCTCTTGGAGATGGCTGAACACCTGGCTGCCTATGGGAGGCAATGAATGAATTCCTTATTTTGCATAGCTTCTTTTTGTGACTTTTACTTTCCCTGTTAAACTGTCTTTATCTCAACCCATGAGTTTTTTTCACTTTTACTGCTCCAGTTCTCTTCCTTATCCCACTACAGAGGTGTGAGCAAGTAGTTATGGGGTGTTTAGTTGCTGGCTGGGGTTAAACCACAACAGTCCTTCTTTGGACCCAATGGGGAGCTCAGAAAACTCAGATTATGACAGACTAGATTGGAATGTGCTAGATGAAACTCTCAGCTGTTATGGCTGTTAAATTATTAATCAGCAGTCTGCAGTGCTTGCCCACAGGGGTCACTTGCCTGATGCTGTATTGCAATCCAGTGCTTGTTGGTGGCTGTTTGCTGTAGTGCTGTGCTTCTTATCTCACTCAGCTGTGCCTGGGAACATTTTGATAACAGCCACGGTGCGCCTGGGCTGGCAGGTGGCCAGGGCATTGGAGTTGTCTGCTGCACTAGACAAGTTGGAATTCCAGTACAAACTTGAGCCAAAGGGACTGTGACTTGTGGATGAGTCCACAGTACAGGGGAAGAGTGTGAGAAAATCTTTCCCTGAAGAAGAAGGAGCAGCAGGAGGTGAGCCAGGTGATGAGGCAGAGATTCCCCTACAGCCCATGGTGAAGCCATGGTCAGGCAGGCTGTCCTTCTGTATCCCATGGAGGTCCATGGTGGACCCTGTAATTGCTATAGCAGGAACCCCTGTTTCTAGCCAGGCTAGAAGCAAGGTGAGGAGTTCATTACACTCTTAAACCCTTCAGTCTGGTACAAAATGCCTTTAAATTGTTGTAACCCATTATTTGAGTTTTGCTTACAGCAATTACTGTAATAGGAGCCACATGAACCAACGGAGGACAAGTCTTAGGATAAACAGTGCAAATGCAGCAGTGACTTCACCTGAGCTGGCTCTAGGCCACAGTACCACAGCACATCACCTCTCCTATCCTGTCCTGAGTGACCAGCAGAACAGAGACAGAGCCTCAGCTCATGGGCCCTGAAATTAATTCAGCTGACATTCTATGGACATATGTTAGCATTTGGTGGGCTTTTGCAGGAGGTGTCCATAGACTAAGGGCATTATATCTGTGTATTATATCAAAGGATGGAGAGGAAATAGGGGGTGTCAATGAGATTCTATTAAATCATGTAGGACTACAGCATGACATAAATTGTATGAGTTTGGCTGGGGTAGTTTTCTTCACAGTGGCTAGTATGGGGCCATGTTTTGGATTTGCACTTACAGCAGTGATGATAATATAAAGCATTTTCTGTTACTGCTGAGCAGGGTTTCCACAGAGCCAAGGCCTTCGTTGCTCCTTACCCACACCACCAGGTGGAGGCTGGGGGTACAGAAGGAGTTGGGAGAAGACAGGACACTCTCAGTTCAGCTGGCCTCAGCAGACTCAAGGGGTATCCCACACCCTGTAGTATCACGCGCAATATATAAAGCAGGGGGAAAGTATTTGTCTTCTGAAGTTACTGTTATGCATGATGGAACCGTGCTTTCTTGGAGATGGCTGAACACCTGCATGCCTCTGGGAAGTGGTGAAGGAATTCTTTGTTTTGTTTTGCTTGTGTCTTTTGCTTTACCTATTAAGCTGTTATTTCATCAGCCCATAAGGTTTTTTACTTCTACCCTTCTAATTTTCTCCTTGATCTTGCTAGAGAGGGAGTAAGCAAGCAGCTGCATAGTACTTAGTTGCCTGCTGGGTTTAAACCACATCTATGAAGTTTTAAAGCCAGTTATCTCATTTTTTAATACACTGATCTACCTCTCTCTGAAAAAG